TTACTTGTATACATTACGCATTTATATAAATAATTCATTTTTTATTGAAAGAATGGTTTATTTTATTATGAAATAATTTGGGTTTTATAAATTGTTTAATTTCTAACATTTGTTTGAATTTGTTTGAATCTATTTAGAAAAAATCCATCTTATTAATAATAATTTTTAAATTATTAAAAGTATTATAAATCATAAAATCAAATAAGATAATAAAATAATGAAAGTAATAATAAGATATTAATGATAATAATAATGAAAACGATTGAAATAATAAAAAACTAATTGATTTAGTATAAGTAGATTGAATTCGATTTTATAATGATAAATATAACATGCGTGTTATAATTTTATGATGATTTTTTTAAATGAAATTGTATTACAAATATATAAACTGATTTGTCTGATTTGTATTACAAATTATATTTAATAAATAAATTTCTTATTTAGAAATTACTTATTAAGTAATGATAATTAATCATTTTACAATAACGTAAATCATTTTACAATAATCTTTTGGTTTACTTGACAAGAATTTTTTTTAAAAAAAAAAGAATAAAATAATTTTTATTTTGAATTTAAAAAAAATATAATATTTATACATAATAGATAAAAAAAATAAAAAAAAATAAAAAAAATTTAATTTAAGAATTTTGTATTCTTTCTATAGTACAAGCTGTTTTTTCTGTCAAAGATAAAGCACATGTATATCGATTTGAATTTGTACTTAATTTAAGTTTGGCTATATCATATGCAGCTTTTGTTTTTTAACACCATATTGAATTTGATGTCATTTCTATTATAACCCCAAATTCAGGATAAAAAAAATACCCTTCATTTACCTCACCTTCATCATAAACAAATCCTATTGCCTACTCTGATCTATCATTATCAAATATATTCAATAGCTTCATAATTGTTAGCACAAAAGATTGCGCCTATCATACTTTCTTTATCTAAATTACATTTTTCTCAAAATTGTTCATATGAAACTATAGCCCAAGGTAAATGATACTTTGCATTAGTATATAGCTATTCTGCCAAGGTATCTCCATCATCTTTTATAATTCTTTGAGCTTCATGATTTACAACTTTTTCTTTATATGCATATTTTCCAATTTTTGAATCTAAGAGATTTTTATGATCATCTTAACCCACTATTGTACCTAAATTCACATGTTCTTTTTCACGTTTAATTGGATAATGTACATCTATTGTAAGTTTCATTTTAATTTCAAAATGATGAAATATCTCTTTAGAAACTATATCTCAAATAATTGCCTAAAGAACTCACCATTATGCTTTAAAATTACTGATTAATTCTTATTAATTAATTATTGTTAAATTATTTAACAAATTAATATGTCCAGAATATTCACCACAAGAAACAAATTTTCCACAATATTTATCTTATAAATTTGGTATATATTACACATTTATATCAACCAAATATTTTGTAATTTTCTTTTCTAAATTTGCTTGTGTAATAAAATATCATTGATTCTAACTTTTAATTAAATCTGCTTATTTTCATTCAAATATCATTTAAAAGTTATTATAGAATCCTTTATAAAAAAAATAATTTAAATTATTATTAAAATATTAAAAATTAATACGTAATAAAAATATATTTAAAAGACAAAATAAAATCATGTGATTTTTCATAAAAAAAATAAGGTTTTACCCTTATAACCCTTATATTTTAAAATTATCAATCAATATCTCAATATAGAATAATCACATGATTTTTGAAAAAAAATCAAGGTTCTACCCTTAAATTTAAAATTATCAATCAATCTGTTAACACTCATATAAAAAGACAGAATAATCATGATTTTTTGTAAAAAAAATCAAGGTATTAGCTTCAATTATAAAATTATCAATTCATTAACTCTTTTAATATAATAAAGATTATAAATGTTGATTAAAATAACCCTTGCTAACCACCTTCTATATCTTCCATATATTATAATAATATATTGTAAAATTAGGAAAGGATTGGCTATAAAAATCACACTTTTAAAAACTTTATTAAATAGAAATTGATTAAAATAACCTTTGCTAACCACCTTTCATATCTTTCATATATTATAATAATATATTGTGAAATTAGGAAAGGATTGGCTATAAAAATCATTTTTCTATAAAATTTACAAACAAATAAATAATAATTGATTAATATACTTACATAATCAAAAGTTCCATTATCTTCATTATCATTAAGAAATCTTTTCAACTGTTTTGATTCTCCAAATAAAACCCGTTTACGTTCTTCAGAAAGTTCTTTAAGGATAACAATTATTTTATTGAAAGATATACTAAAAATTTTTAAAAATATTAAAATTTGCAATTAAAGAAATATTAAAAAAAATTATTATAACATATGTTATATTATAAAAAAAAATTCTTCAAATTGTTAATTTCAATAAAAGTTTTAAAAAAAAAATATTATTAGAACATAACATCAATTTGAAAATAAAAATTAAAAATTTAAAAATTAGAAAATACCAAGTAAAAACTAAAAGTCTGTTAACAAGCTAATAATTATTTATACAATTATTCAAATTAGAATGTAATATTTAAAAATAACGTATTTAGAATAATAGATAAAAGAGAAAGAATAAAAAATTAAAAAAATTACCTCAAAGAAATTAAATCTAAAAAAAAAAATGCGAAGGTTCTAATGTTTAAAAGAAGAGGATATAAAAAAGAAAAAAAAAATTTTTTTTAGAAGAAAAAAAAGGAGGATGTATCAATTTGATGCAAAATCATTTTTGTTTAGTATTTATGCATGTTGATCATAAAATAAATACACAAACTAGAACTTTTATGATTATTAGTTATGGCAAATTTTTTTTTGGCAGAGCCACATATAATTGCGAGACAAAACCATAATAGGCTAATGTCGAAAGTCGAATTTGTTGATTGGTTGCAATATTTATTTGATTGGAAAATATCATTTCATCGAACGATATAGGCATCATTCAATTAAAAGTGATTTTGCCATTGTCATTAATTCTGAAACCTCTAAAACCTCCAATACTTGACGAAATTGTTGAAAAAAAGAAAAAGAACTCATCTTTTTGTAGGTTCCAGAGTTATTCGAGCCTTAGAATCAGAAGTACATTTCTATGGAAAAGGGGAGGATGTGAGAAATTTTTTAAAAGAAACTAACTAATACTTACCTTTTTGTAGGATCTCAGATTCTTCAAGCATTGGAATCAGAGGTAATTTTCTAAGGAAAGTGGATGCGTGCGTTAAAATAGTTTTTAAAAAATAAAACATAAAAAATAAACTAACTATGTTACCTTTTTTGTAGGTTCCGGAGTTCTTCAAGCCTTGGAACTGGAAGTAAGTTCCTATAGAGGGAGGGGAGGATTTGAAAATTTTTTTTTAAAAAAAATAAAAAAAAAAGAAACTAATACTTACCTTTTTGTAGGATTCTGGAGTTCTTCAAGCCTTGGAATCGTCAGAAGTAAGTTCTTATAGAGAGAGGAAAGGATTTGAGAATTTTTTTTTTAAAAAAAACAAAAAAAAAAAAACTAATACTTACCTTTTTATAGGTTTCGGAAGGCTTCAACATCTACAAAAAGTGGTAAGTAAAATTTTAAATTTAATTATTTTTTTAAATTAAAAGAAAAATGAAAACTTACATTCTTTCAATTCTAGGATTTCGGAGGGTTTTCGTCATTTACAAAAGGAGGTAAGTTTTTTTATTTTAATTTTAATTGTTTTTATTTTAAATTAAAATAAAAACAAATTAATTACCTTTGTTTATTTTGTAGGATTTCAAGATTTCAAGCTTCAGCATCAGGATTCTGTAGGGCTTCTGCATTTACAAAAGGAGGTAAGTTTTTTTTATTTTAATTTTAATTATTTTTCTTTAAATTGAAATAAAAACAAATATACTTACTTTTGTTTATTTTGTAGGTATAATTCCAAGATTTCCAGAAGCTTCACTATTAGGATTCTGGAGTTTCTCAAGCTTTGAAATCGAAGGTAAGTTCTTATGAAGGTGTGTGATTTTTTTTAATAAAAATAAAAAAGAAAATAATACTTACCTTTTTGTAGGTTTTGGAAATTATGGAAATTTGAGCAGGTTTTGAAGGTTACAGAAGTTTAGACAAGAATTTCGGAATTTGATCAAAAAAGCGAATCATTTCATCAATCACGAACAGTTTTGCTTGAACATTACATCGAACAATAAATGAATCGTTCGATTAAAATGATCAAAAATTCATTCTATCGAACGATAAATGAATCGTTCAATTGGAATAATCTAAATATTATTCATCAACTAAATCACAATTAAAACATAAACTTAATTCACAATTTGCCAGAAATGAAAAGAATATGCATAATATCGATCGTGGCAATTTTATATTATTAATTATAAAAAAAACGTAATTGGAAAAATGTCATGTAATACAAACTCCTGAATTAATGACAAAACCTACCAAATATATATAATAAAAAACGTTGCTTAAAACCTAAGCTATTTATTTTATTAAAAAAACTTTATACTTTATTTGACAGATTTCGCGCAAGCGCCTTGACGGTTCAGGATTATGGGTTCAAAACGCAAAATTCCAAAAATTCCAAAGTGAAAAAAAAGTGAAAAAAAGTGGTTTAAGTTCACTTAGACGTTAAACATAGGTATTATGTGCAGTTTTTATTATTATTTGGCCATAGCTTTGGCCATTGCTTGCTTGTGTTGGCGGGAATACTGGCTGATCCAGTTTTCGATTGTTTTCAACTTCGGTATATCATTCTCCTCTAGCTCACCTGTTTTTACTTTTTTTGTAGTATCTCGAGCATTTTTTTTGCAGAATATCGTTCACTTTTATGGGCGTCACCAGCATGGAAAAAACCCTTCAATAATTCCATTATTCCTTCAGGTATGTGTTTTCTGCCACCTTTTTTTCCATATTCCTGGTTTTCTTTTTAAGCCCAACCGACTTGAAAATAGTTGTTTCTAGAGAAATAACATATATCTGAATTTATTATTGCAGGTTATCACGATATTTTTCTATTTTTTTAAAGTAGTCGCACTCACTCGTTTTCTTTTCTCTTTTCTTTTTTTTCGTCTTTCCTTTCTTCATTCTTAACTCTGTAATGTTATTATTTTCCTTATTTTCCACTGTACCAATTGCTTTTCTTGCCTCTATGTAATAAAAAAGTGATTAGTTGAATTTTATTGCAAGTTAATTTGCAAAAAAAAATAATTTATTACCTGCTATTTTATTTATTGTCTCACATGCAATATTTTCTCTCAAAATTGCAATTAACTCTTGCTGATTTTCTTTTTCATCGTAAAATAAGGACCTTCTTTCTAACTCTTCTTTGATCTTATCCTTTGTCAACCTATTTAGTTCAGCTATTTCATTTTGGAAGTTATTGTTCTGATTTGTTGATAGTATTGGAATTATCCATTTGGAATTTGGATTTGTAGACGTAGAAATTGAAGGATTTGGTCGAAATTGCTTATCACCCTTCATTGATTTACAAATGGCGGAGGGAGAGAAATCGTTCTATATTCCAAAGTTGGAAAGAGCTCTATCACGTACAAAACCACTGAATTTTCCTTCAACAGGCCACTGAAATTCAAACCAATTGGAAATACCAGTCATCACAGGTTTTTTTCTTTTTTCCTTTCGATCTGATTCAATATTTACAACTGTTACTCCCCTAATACCTTTGATTGTTTCTTCTATGTCTTGACCTTCAAATATATCATATCCTAGCCTAATGTACCGTTTGATTGCATGAGAAATCTAGAAATAAGCCACAATAGAAGTTTATAAGTCACAGTTATAATTTACAACACAACCATCATACTAAATAACCTAAGCATGATGTGAATTGATTGTTGTTTTGGCCTCTCCTGCCTCTAAAAAAATCCAACTTCAGATTTCCACATCATACCAGGATTTCCAGTTTGTAATCATAGCTATTAATTCAGCACAATGGTAATAGGCGTTATTATCAGATAGGATTCTTACCCATTTTGGTTTTTTCAAATGAATTAAAGACAACTTCAAAACATGAAATTGTGAACAATGCATCTTGAACCATGTCTAAAGACTAATGATCAAAGGCTTTTATTTCTAATTTGTGATTATTGGCTTTTATATATACTAACATTGTATGTAATGTCCATCCAGATTTTCCATAGAAATCTGATTTTACCTCTCATGCTGATTTTGGTAAAATCTTCATTTTATAATATACTATAATTATAGCACCTTTTTCATCAAGAGAAAGCAAATTTGCATTAAATTGAGCATTGAAGTATGTCTTGCGTATTTGATGAGACCAGTAATATTGAAGTTTTTTTGATTTTTCATGATTCGCTCAAAACTATTTGGTATGATATGAATTAACTGACAAAAAAATTCTGATACTTTATTACATTGATTGCAATTAGAAGAGTGGGGCTTAACACATTCTCTGAAAGCATATGGAAGACAATGCTCAAGACATTCAACATAATAAGATCGTCTTAGGCAATCTATTTGAAGTTCTTTTTCATATTCACACTTTAAATGCCGACGAACAGATTCAAGCTCTGTAATTAATTGATTCTAATGATATATATTTGAAATATTTGTAATTATAGAATATTTGTTTTTGTTATTTTTATTAATTATAGCAATATAATTATAATTATAAATAAATAATACATAATTAGATAATTAGTAATTTTTGTAATTTTGATAAACATATTTATTATTTATTAAAAACTTTATAATAATATACATTATAATATTACATAACTGATAATTTCTTTTTTTGACAATTTTCATACCAAATCCCTCTAAAATATTATTAAAAAAATTATATTTACCTGTTGTGTTTTTTCATTGATCTTTTCTGTTATTAAACTTCTTAAATCATCAAATATGTTATATCCATAATCAGAACAGATACTACATAAACCTCTTAGATCTTCCCTATACACATATGGTCCATCTTTCAAATGCACTAAAAATGTTGTCCATTTCATGTCTGTGGGATATACCTCAAAGAATTTTTGCCATAATGTTTCTTTTTGATCTTTCAGATTTTTGAGTGGTTCACCAGTTTTCGTATCCACCTTGTAAGAACTCAAATTTACAATATTTTTATCAGCAAAAAAATTCTGAAATTGTTTCTCCATTTCATCAGTAGTTCGAACTCGTGTAATAATAGGTTTATCTATTATTGCACATCCTAGACCATTAACCTTGCAGTAATACCTAGCTTTAGCTACTGTTTTGGAAGAAACCTATTTATAATATAAACCATAATTGTAAATATAAATCAACAAAAGCGTATAAGACGCGTAAGGACTTGATAGTAAGTATTAGGTATCATTTACCTTGAGATTTTTTTGAAGTTTTTCGTATTCAAAATTATTTGCAATAATTGACAAAATTTGTATCTTTCCATCATGGCCTGTTTTGTTCTCTTCTAATGACTTTTGAAAACATTTCCAGAATTGATTACTTGAATTATATGCATTTGTTGGAATAGCATTTAGGAATCTGCTATTATATAGAATTTTCAAGATATTTTGATCAATCAATAGGTTTGAACTTTGTGACCAAAATTCATACTAAATTTGGTAAAATAGTTGGTTTAATTTGGCCATAGAGATAATCAATTATTATTAACAAATACATTACATTCATTACCTCTGATTGATCTTTGGAAAATGGAGTAATTTTCATACATCCAGCAGCCCTTAGCATTGCACGCCATGCTCGAAGTTCACGTTCATCATGCAAATAATTTGGTAGATATATTTCTTTAGCATTCCACGTAATTCAATAATTGTACTTTTCTGTGCAAATCAAATTTGAAATAATTGTCACCAGTAATATTACTAAGTGTTCGTTTTCTCAAATTATAATTAAAAATATTATTCAAGAGCACTTCATTATTCCAAAATATAGGTAAACATATAGAAATTCGTTGTTCATTGATAATATTTTGTGTCATTGGATGCTCTAAGCCAAACAATTATATTCCATGATATTTTTTATAATATCCTACGTTCATCCATGCTTCTGTTGGAGTAGAACCAAAAAAAAATATTTTCTCATGATCCTTTTGATGTATTGAAATTTCACAATTATCAGGTTGAATTTTTTGAACATATAAAGCTCGTTTTCTTTTATGTCCACCGATAAATGATGTAATATAATTTTTTATTGTTTTTTTTTGTCCACAAACGCTAATATTTGTAATATATATCAAAATATTGTCAACATTAACAGCAAATGCTCGAAAATGAACATTTTCCAGTGAAGCTTCCAATAATTCATTATTGTCCCAACCTAAAACTAGTGGTTCAGAAAATTTCGTCTTTTAATTAGAAAAAATTCGCTGGTATAAACTCGTTATGGCATAACTTGGCGCTGTTTTAACATCACTAAATTTACCACCAGACTGGCATCTATATCCTGGCAGTATCTCATTACTTTCATTTCTCTCTGTTATATGCATATAAAAGTATCTATTATTTTGTTCTATAACAGTTTTACAACCTACACGAATAGGATAAAGAAATACGCCTTCTTCTAGATTGCTGTCACCTCTCATAATCCACCATTTTCTTGAATTCACTCCATAATGAAATCGTGACACTATTTGGCCAATAGAAACTAGTTTTACATCAAGTTTAGGTTGTTTATTCATGTTTAGATTGAGAATGGTTAGAGATTCTTGATATTAACAAATTTTATTATTACTATTATCCCCACTGATCATTATGTAAATGTGATGTTGATCTTTCTGTTTCTTGCGAATTGCGAATTAATTGTTTAAATGTATTATTATCAATTTAATCATGATTGATCATAGAGTTAGTCATAAATTAATTATATAATCAATTAAACAATACAAATTTCATTATACAATATAATCGCAACTTTATTATAAATTTAATTGATTTTTCTTTTTCAATATTGTGTATAATTTAATTTTTTTTAAAAAAACAAAAAAAAATTTCATTTTTAAATAAAAATTTAAAAAGTTTTACTAGTTACAAATATCTCTTTGAATTTTATAAAAACAAAAAATATCTTTAATTTACCATCCTTACCCTCAACCACCACCCTTATGCAGCAATTAGTTTCATCATTATTCCTATTTATATCTATTCTATTCTCAAAATTAGAAATATCTACATATTCAATCATAACAATTGGTTCTAAATTAAATAATATAGATACTGTATATGTAAATTTTCCTTGTCAGTATTATCACTTAATGTTTCTGGATAATTTAGATTTGATAAAATGATTGCTTTATCATCTTCAACTGGTTCTTCATATGATTTACTTAATGATTGATTCTTGAACTAATTCTATAATATTATTTTCCAATATATTTGGTTGATAATATCGTAATTCATCTTTAATATTTGTAATATAATATCTATTGCTAATATCAAACCTAGTATCTATGAATAGCAAAATAGCCAAATACCTAACAATACAACTCATATACATATATATAATATTTCTATTAAAATAATTATAAAACATATATATAAGAAATGATCTAGGCCT